ATAATCACGGAGAAACTCACATTGTTTCCCTCGACATTTCAATAGTTTTTGATCGCGTTTGACATGAAGGTTTGTTGTCTAAATCACCCACTTTCGGATTCCACCCGTCTCGTATCGTGGCTTCAATGTTTCCGCAGCAAGCGAACGATCTCCCCCTAGTGGATGGAGTCCTATTTCAACCACTCCCTATGGATTCCGGTGCTCCCCAAGGTTCCATATTTTCTTCCACCCTCTTTCTTCTGTCTATCAACTATATTTTGCCCAAGACCTCCAATCCCATTCACTGCATTGCTGATGACGCCACGCTCCATTGTTTTCTTTCTTCCCCACAACCCGTCAGGCCACTACCAGTATCAATCACGATCGCAATGTTATTAGGTCGTTCATAACTAGAAACGTTGTTCGTCGAGGGTGACCTCTTTCTCCTCTCCTGTTCAATTTCGTCATAGACGACATACTGGAAAACACTAAATGGTCTCCAAAATGTAGGTATTGCCTGTTCGAATCTATGGAGGGTGCACAAAGAGCACTTAACAGATTGGCAAGGTCTGTCGCCCCGTTCGACATGTGCTTTACACCTTGAAAATGCAAAGTGATGCTGCAATACTGGATATCGCCGAGTTCTGTTCTGAAACTAGACGGTCAGGAATTAGCTGAAGTTGACTGCTTCTCGTGCTTAGGTAGTTGCGTGACAAACGGCGGTAGCACCTCTAAGGAGATAACCGCCCGCGTTTCAAAGGCTCGAGCAGCGTACGCAGGGCTTAAACACCTGTGGCGGCGAGGTGATGTTTCATTGAAGTTGAAGAGTCGCGTATACTTCGCCACTGTACGATCAGTTCTGCTTTATGGTTGTAAGACCTTGAATTTACGGGTAGAAGATATCCATCGCCTAGGGATTTTCGACAATCGAAGCTTATGTAATCTGGCCCAATTGGAATGGAGTGAGTCGCCTAGTGACTTGAAAGTAAGTCGTCGGGTTTTAGAAAATACACTGAACAAGAACTCACTATCGTACCGAATCCAGCTCAATGGGCTCCGTTGGTTACGCCACGTTTCGCGTATGCCCGACGATCGCCTAACGCAGCGCACCTTATTCGAATTGGCTGTTGCAGGCTGGGGAAAGCGCATGGAGGCCACCAGATTACGTGCAGACGAGGCATGAAAAAATGCACAGTACAGTAGGTGTCTCGTCTTCCTGGTTGGGGTTCAAAAGACTCCGAAACCACATGGTTGGAGACACTAAAGGTTATGGCTACGAATCGACAGCAATCGCGAGCTTGCTGTCACTTCTTATCAGACCAGAATGCTTGAACTGGTGTGTATGCACAGTTGGACGGGAGAACAGTCTGCCAAGCGTCCCTCAGCGGCGACCCCTATTGTTCGATTTGCCACCCACGCACACATTCAGGTATTTATTTATCACAATATTCCTTTGTTCTCCATCATTCTTGGAACTTTGCCAAATCAATTTGTGTGAGCGGCTTTCTGGTTCTTTATTCCTACTTATGCAATCTCGTTTCAACCGGAAGAATTATCCTCCAACGCTGTCGATTGCTTCCATCAGTACATTTCCCAATATTCATTTTTCACTCATTCATTCTTATGCCCAAGTAGCGACATCCTTCAGCTAAACGAAGTACTCTTCCGGGAATTCGACTGACAGGTTCCTTTTGCAAATTTGAGTGCGCTGTAAGAGGTTATTCTGTTGGGAAGATATTTTATTGTAACTGTCAGAAGAATGCAGTCATTCGTTCTACACAATCCACTGTACAAGGACAAAATCTCTCATTGAAGCCTCTCTTGCTTTACTTGAACGATCACTTACCTTGCCCATACGCATCACCTCGTATTGCAACTCTTCAATGATGTCATTCTTTTTACGAAGCAAGTCCTACAAGAGAAAATAATATTGTATACAAAGTAGTAAAAGCAAAAGTGCAACATCGTTTCCGAAAGATTTGACAGAAGTGTGTATTTCGAACCAAACAACTCACGAAATGATGTTTGTAAAATAGATTGGTTTGCTAGACTGTTCGTCACTTACCACGGTTTTCGGTGAATTGAGTTCGTAATGTATTAAGGTTAATGCTTGCAACAATTGAACTTAGCATTTGTAGTAGATTTTTCTTTTGTTGTTCCGTCATTTGCTGGGACTGGTCAGCTGAGCATACCGCTTTCGTTTTTCGTGCAGAACTTCAGACAAGAATCTTCGGGTCGGGAGTCAAACCCTTTGTTCCTGAACCACTCAATCATCGATCAAGACCTCGATCGGAAACTTTTAATATTATAATAGAAGTATTGTGGTGCCATCCGCGCATTCGCTTTCAGAAACGCTAGCCAATGTGTACAGTTTTATTGTTTTTTGCATAGATATTGTTATTTCGTAATTTGTTTATTTGGCACAAATTGCAATCATTGCGTTCGGAGCGGAAAAAGCTAGACGATACATAATGTCCGGTGCCTGTAAATTCAAATAGATTGATTCTGATGCAGTATTCGAACAAAATGATTGGTATTTGTGAATCTATCCTTGTCAGTGATTGCTCATTGAGACATGAACGATCGGGAAACACAGTTGACTAAGTGAGGATTGTCATTCATAATGGTAGTGCCCCTAATGTGTGAATTTTTGAGCCTCCGAATAAAAAATCTGCTTTACCGCTTGCTGCAGCAGTTTATCTTTCGTTTCCAGGTCGTTTGGCTCAAATTTCAAATCGGTAACCCAGATAGCTATACGACTCATCTAAAGAAAGCTGCATTAAGTCAATATGTACAAATCCACGTTCCCCCGATAGGTTTCTGACAAGACAGTGAATGACCACTACAATCGGTTGGAAGTGAGTCCAGGTACCGGGACTCAGTCTTGACATTCAGTGTGACTAAGTTTACTGCAGACAGTGGGCATTAGTTATTATGGTATCTCCCTATAGATGCTGAAACGAAATGCATATTGATACCGTAATTTTAAATATTCCTTTCCAAAGGACCTATACTCAAGTGCATTAGGTTGCGCTAATCACATTTAGGCAGGCTAGTGGATGCCTACCCGAAATGTATCCCTTCATATGAATACTCGAAGCCGAATTCGAGGATACAGTACTTTTCTCTCTAGTTCACCACCACTAGCGGTGTTCGTCAGCGTTGTCTTCACCCTCTTATTCTATCTTACTTTGTTATACATATAATTAAGAATAGAGCTCAGTCT